ATATTCCAGTACAACACCACTACGGTGAGGTAAGCTGTGACAGCGACTGCGGGTTAGAAAAAAAATCATTGCGAGTGTTCTGTGAATTAGTTAAGATGTGTAATTACCAGTTTTGGCGAACATTTAAACTAACACATATTCCCTGTAAATGAGTTTATGTCCCAGTATTGTTTTAAGATAATGGTTAGAATATAACATTGTACTCTTTATGGTTTACACTGTCATGACCATAGACTGTATCTACTGATTACATACCCCTTCCTATTCCTTTACATTGAACCTTTTGTTTTGTCTTTTCTGTTTTATCAGGCTAAGCAGTGTACGACCCTTAGCTTTGAGCTCACAGTTGGAAACTGGGTCAAAGAAAACCTCAGATGAACAGACGGATGAGCCCATCAAGTTCTCGACAAGCAAGGCCAGTCACCGGACCTGGAAAGTGGACCGCTCTATGGGCAGTCAATTCAGCAGACCATGGCGGAAAGTGTTGCCAATAAGCATCTTTTTCTCAGTGTTTTTGTTGTGGTGTGTACTGAGGGGACATTCTGACGTGGATACTCAACTTGACCGACCACTTTATGAAAGTTTACCCAGCCTGCAACCAGAAGACGATGGACCTGACAAAAAACCTAGCTAGCAAAAATGGACTTACAGCTATTTATTCCTGGTGATCTGTCATTTACAATTTATTAAATTTCCTTTAATAACTGAATTGTCCTATTTAAGTGGTGGAAGAAAGTAGAGCTGGAAGCAACTGTCCTAAAGAAAAATGCAAAAGTTATGGAGACTTTCAGAAAGCAAATTACAGTGGATTCCTGTTTGATAGTTGAACCTAAACACTAATGTTTTAAGCCCATTTTCAAATGAATTGAAAGTATTGGCTTATAGGGATGAGCCAATTTCACTGCACTTGCATCAACCAACCCCAACTGAAACATTACTGTAGCAAAAGACTGGCATCCAAACAGCCTGCACAATGCCAAAGTAGTCCACTAAATAGCTTTTCATACACAGGTAATCAAAATAAACAGCTTTAAAAATCATGCAAAAACTGATCCAAAAATATGGCCCCAACCATATGTGCAAGCCAATTAAATTTGTATATATATAAAAAAACTGGGACACTTTTGCATAAATTACATAAATGTATAACAATCTTTGACTCACCCCCCCCATCACAATAAAACACTTGCATTGGTTTGCAAAAATGCAAAGTAAAACACTGAATGAGGTAGCGGAAAAGTTTATTTACAGCACAAGGAGTCCTGTCACATGCAACATGATTATGGTTCAGACTAAAACTGAGTCAAACCTGAGAGGCAGTGAATTGTTCAGAATATACAGTTCATTTTCTAAGCTAATATGAGAAGAGGAAAATTAAAGTACAAAAACACACATGCAACTACAAACATTTAAAAATGGTACACATGCTGGTATAGGATCATGATGTACAAAAACAAATCCCCGGGCCCGATCCCTGTTCTTCCCAACCACCCCGTTAAAAAGATAAAAATTAAGCCCGTTCTCCTCGGATTCGCCTGGCCAGCTGGATGTCCTTAGGCATGATGGTAACTCTCTTGGCATGGATCGCACACAAGTTTGTGTCCTCAAACAAACCGACCAGATAGGCCTCACTGGCTTCCTATTAGGGAAAATGGATTTCAGTAAACACAGTGTAATGTATTGGACAAAGAGCTTACTGAACTCTAGTGTACCTGTAGAGCCCCAATAGCTGCACTCTGGAAACGCAGATCGGTCTTGAAGTCTTGAGCAATTTCCCTCACAAGACGCTGGAAAGGAAGCTTCCTGATGAGCAGCTCAGTAGACTTTTGGTACCGACGGATCTCACGCAGAGCAACAGTACCAGGCCTAGATATTAATGAAAGGAAGTTTACCACCCAAGCGTCAAAGCCTATAATAGTCTTTGAATGAACTCAACACACCTGTATCTGTGCGGCTTCTTAACTCCACCAGTGGAGGGCGCACTCTTCCTGGCGGCCTTTGTGGCCAGCTGCTTTCTAGGCGCCTTTCCTCCGGTGGATTTACGAGCGGTCTGCTTGGTACGAGCCATGACTCAAAGTTGAGTTTCTATAACAAAACAAATGTTTCCATTACAATTACAACGATCCAGTAGCAATGTTGTCAAAATGAATCCCCAAAATTCTCAAATAAAGCCTACGGCACAGTCATATAATTAAAACACAGGTACGCATGCAAGTACCTAGCAAAAAATATGAAGCCTTTATACATAGGTCTACATAAAACAATGCACAACAGTCCATGCAACGTTGCCCAACTTTTTTTTGGCGGGGCGACGGTTTTGACTGGAGTTACTGAACAATACTGGGTTAGGGATTTGGAAAGATGGATTTCGTACAAAATAAAACGTGTGCATAGAGCTGCCACCATTAACGCAGTAGAGGCACACACGTCTCTGGCTTAAATTAAAGCTAGCATAGACGGCTGCAAAATGGCGCCAGTAGCCATTATTCCCACACCGCTCCATAGTCGGTAAAAAGCGCCAAAAAAGGCACATAATGGCTCAAGAGGACTATAACATGGTTTTAATACACTTTATGTCACCTTACCAAATTTATACATAAGGATTTCAATAAGCATACCTTTGTACCTTTAGCCATCGGCTATAGCGCGCAGTTTTGTTTTGTTTACGGCGAACCGTCTGAGTGCAACATGTATTAATAAATATCCGCATAACACGTCTAACCCTTGCCACATTGATTTTATAAGGCTATACACTTTTTAGTTGCAGTACAAACAATGTAAAAAAAATAGAACAAATACCTTAACCCTGCTTCTCTTCGGGCGGAGCACAGCCTCTATGGTCGCGTACAGAAACACTTGTAAAAAAAGCTGAAGTCGAGGCTATTTATAACCTGAGATACGGAGTCATGCAGGACAGCCCCTGTGTCCTTCTGATTGGTTCAGACCACAGTCAGTGACCCAGCTTTGATGCGATTGGCCAAAAAAAATCTATATAAAAAGTGACATTATATACATTAATTTTAACTTCAAACTATATAGACCAGATTATAATTAAACAACTATCAACATTTAGATAATTTATGATATGTATTAATATAATTAAACCAATTAGAGTTTTTACTGCACGAACCACAGTTGCCAAGCGGAACTACTAATACGGGAAACCTCACCAGTCGAACCTAATTCCAGTGGTGGAAGTGGTAAGTTTAACGCATGGATCTATTAAAGGTTTAACAGCCTGTTCGGACGGATATGTTTATAATGTGTAATTATTTGAAGCAAAAAAACACAACGAGATTTTGTTTTTTTTATTTGAGGTGAAGAATATCAGGAACATGATCGAAGAAAAACTGGTTGTAATAGGTAGGCCTACAATCAAGATTCTCTTATTGTTTTTGACTACCGCTTCATGTATTCATGAGTAGATTACATGTGATTGTCTATGGTGTAGAAGGTAACTAACGTATGGTTTTATATTGTCTAAACAGATACTGAACATAAATCAATCAACATCACCCAAAGGAAAAGTGACCAGCAGCCCCTTTGGACTCGCAGTGACAACTCCTTCAAATTCAGCTTTTTTCAAGACAACTGTCCAGAAAGTTTAAACCAAGCTTCTTCTTCATCAGAGCATACAGTCAGCCAATTCACCTTCACCAGACAGGAGAACTTTGCTTTTGCCTTCAACTTCCAAATTGACCCAGAGGAAGACATGAATACAGAGCCCTCAAATGGCACTTCTCAAAACAAGCAACAGTGTACAGAGCTTGAGAACACATCATGTGAACAAAGTGCCTCTTCACCAAACACATCTACTTCAAATACATCTAAAAAGAAAAAGAAGAAAACCGGAAAACACAAAGCAGTAGATAACACCACAAAAGAGCCAAAGGACACAGCTGCACAGGAACAAGGTGGTGAAAGTGCAGAGCAGGTCAGTCATTTTTATATATATTTAAAAAAAGACTATTATGTGAATATGTTTTCATACGTTAATTATTATGCTTATTGGTTGTTATGTAGAGTACAGAGGAGCAGTTACAACGGCAACTTGACTGGTGCATTGAGCAATTAGAACTGGGAATGAGATCCCAAAAAGCCTCTACAAAACAAAGTAAGTGGACCTTTATTAAGACATGCAACCATTTTATCAAGCAAATAATGTTTGAATTCTTATATTAAATTTAGATTTAAAGTTACACTAATTTAATTTACAACTGGCCAGTATTTTATACATATTATTTAGGAATATAGGCAACAGTGGCATAATGGTTAGCGCAGTGGACCCCCTACCTGAAAGTTAGCGGATTGATTCTGGCTTGGACCAAGTTCTAGCATTATGTCCACCTTGCCACGTATGAAAGTGGTGCATGCGTGTGTGATTGGTGGTGGTCAGAGGCTGTGCAGATTGGCACAGTCTTGCATTCGTCACCCTTCCACAGGGCAGTTTAAGGCCACTATGGAGTGAATGAATAATAACTACAGACAGTGTAGCGATTTGAGAGTGCAAAGCACGTTGCAAGTGTAAGGCATTCTTATTATTATGCCATTTTATTCAAATAATGTCATGTCAGGTTAAGATGTGTGTTTTTATTCTGGAAATATTTGGCAATTGTTTATTGTGTAATTTCTCAATGTCTGTAATTTTAAACACTTGTTTCATCTTGAGCAGAAGAGGAGGCATCTAGGGCTCTGAAGACTTTACGCAGTTCTAAAGCTCCACTGGTCAAAAAGAGGCAGTTGATGAGAGCAATGGCTGGAGATTACAGAAAGAAAATGGAAGAGGAAAAAACCAAACAGTTTAAACTTATTCAGAATGGTGAGGTTTTACAAATATCTCCTATAAAGTTTTTTGTATTTTTGGCAATAAATTATTTTTTTAAATTAACATGGTGTGTATCTTTGAAATTAGAAATCGCATCAGCACAACTTCGAGCTGTGTCAGAGTTGCCAAAGAAGTCGTCTTTTCATCGAAAGGCTGGTAGCAAAGCTCCAACTTCAGAGAGCAATTCTAACTCCAACAAATCTGATGCAACAGTGGCACCTGACAAGAACTGTGTCTTTACACCATCAAATGAGGAGTTTCGGTTTAATTTTTTTTAAAGATTTTACCGACTCTCCCTGGTGACTTTAATTGTATGTGTATTCAGCGCTAGATATGTGCAGAAGTGACAATGTAATCAGCTGCCTATAATAAAGATTTTATAATGTATAAATTTAAATAATTTTTACCTGCTATATCTAGATATTCACATGTACCAGTAAAATGTTTCACGTAGTTCCCGCAGAAAGTAAGAAAATCTTGAGTTACATTTTTAAGTAAGATTCATGGGGATTTGGTCTCATGGGGGCTCTCCCTCCGGCAGGAAAAGGCGGGGTCATGAGAGTACGGGCACTATTGAGTGCGACACTCAAATAAGTTTGAGTTGCAGAAGCCTGAGAAGTACAGAAAAGAACTGCCTGTAAGTATTTAAATTACGACATTTGCCTGGTTGACATTCAGTTTCATTTGTTTTTTATAACTTTTTATATGCCACGTATTTTTTGGCTTTTTCGGAAGTAAAGTTATTTTTAATGATGCAGCTAAGCTAATGGAGGCTACTTATGAAAACAACTTTTCTCACGTAATGATGGTTCTTTTATAGAAAACCGATTGGTTAATTGATTGCATATTACATACTTGTTAGCGTGGATCTAGAGTGCAGCTTTTCTTGTTTTCTTCACCCGTCAGCAGAGTGCGAGGATGTCTGAGCTCAGTGATGAGGCCAGTGAGTCGGAGCAGCTGGGGGCCAGTCTCTCTCTGTGGCTGGGGGAGTCCATGGTGCGGCCTGAGGAGCTGGATGTCCCGTTGGACCTCCATACCGCTTGCTCAATTGGACAGTACGACGTAGTAGCAGAGTGTATAAAAAAGTGGGTCATACACAAATACTTAATTTACGTTATTATGGTTAAAACCGACCGTAAACTAAAAAGTTAAATTTAGAGTCGCGATACGGTTGTCATAGCAACGCGCACAATGGCATCTATCATATCCGGTCAGATCGTGTGCACTCCATTGTGTAATATATAATATTTTAGCAAAATGGCTTAATAGGAGATTTATTTGTGTTTGATAAAGATGCCTTAGTCACTAGCTTCTCTTTTTATGTCGTCTTAGGGGTGAAGTGGATTTGGACAGAAAAAATGTTGGAGGGTGGACCCCATTAATGTACGCTGCTTACATTGGCCATGACAACATTGCCAACTTGCTGCTGGAGGCAGGAGTAAATGTGAATGCTACAACAACCAAAGGACTCAGTCCCCTGATGTTGGCAGCCAGCTGTGGAAATGAAAGCATTGCATACTTTCTGCTTCAGGTAGGCTGAGTCAGTCTGTAAAATTCAAGTTGTTTGCTTTTGCAAATTGAAAGATTTTAATCAATCAATTTAAACACTTACTGGCATTTAATTTAATTTTTTTTAAAAGCAAGGTGCAGAGTTGGAAATGAAAGACTTTCGAGGCTGGACTGCTTTGTTTCACTGTACCAGTACAGGACACCAACAGATGGTGAAGTTTCTGCTAGATAACAATGCTGATGCCAATGTCAAGTAAGTGCCGTCCAGTTCTAAATGTGGGGGGAACACAAGGGAACAAAGTGAGATCTGAACCTTTATGACTGAATCCCCAGTACCTTCAAGCATCCATCCATACATAAGAGTCCTTTATAGTTAATGTTCCTTTTTTTTACAGGGAGCCAGTTTCTGGGTTCACTCCCTTGATGGAGGCCGCAGCTTCTGGACATGAAATTATAGTTCAGTACCTGTTAGGCCATGTAAGTTATCTTTTACATTCTATTTACTGCAGGTCTGTTTATAATTTATATTTTCTTCCTTATGTTTAGAAAGTTAAAATTGACCATCGGAATGCAAAAGGAGAAAGTGCTCGTGTCTTGGCTATGATGTATGGTTACACCAAGATTGTTAGCCTTATTGATTCACATTCCCATAGGATTAAGCCAGGTATGTCAAAATGTGACTAAAATACTGTTTAAAAAATATGCCCATTTCTTAATTCTGATGTAAACCCCCAGGGCCCTTTGAGGACCTGAGTTCATCCGAAGACTCTGATACTGCACCACCAAGACCAAGGCTGAGCAGAACCCGCAGCAAAGGTGTCAGCATCCACGATGGGCCCCAAGCCATCGCCAAATTCAGAGTTGGAACCCATAAATCTTGTGGTATGCACCAAAGCCAAAACTCAGTCTCTATTTAAATTTTGGTTTGACAGTAATTTTCTATTACCAGAACACTCAGCAGCATCGCCAAGCCACATGGAGTTTCATGATATTAGAGAACAAAATGAGAGCATTCGTTACCGTGATGTGACGTCCCCTATTAATGAGTTGGATGGTCAAAGCAACAGCAGTAGAGGTACAATCTTCACCTTGATGCAGCGATGCATGTAGAGTGCATAAATATCACTTTTGTGCCATTTGCAGATGAAAGTCCTTTCTTTGACAATGACATGCCCACCATGAGGAGCAGCAGCAGCAGCAGTGAGGGCCTGCCTAATGTCATGGGCCTGAAGTGGGAAGGCTCTGTTGAGAGTAATGAGGTGGGTACACATCAACTGAGTCTTTTCTGTTGTGACTATAACCAACAGTGCTCTATTTTCACTCCAGGACTCTGACCAGTGCAAAAAGAGTAGCTCTCGCCGAGTAAATAAGGGAAATCACTCTAAAGGCAAGAGTCGCCATGGAGGCAATAATTCAGCTCAAACCAGTGGGATACTCTCACAGTGTGGTGCTACCACGTCCTACTCCGGGCCCAAGGCACGGCACTTTTAAACCGGTTAATCTGCCCTTAAATATGTTCTTGTCAAATCTTGACAAAAAAACATTTTATTTGTGCAGGACTTGGCAGAATTTCTGGAACAAATTGGCTTCTCAAAATATCTTCCATTACTTGAGGAGCAGGACATTGACCTAAGAATATTTCTCACCCTTACTGAGAATGATCTAAAAGAAATTGGCATCACGTAAGAAGTGAAATACTTTGAAGTTAAATGTTAAATTATCTGTGTAATAATTCTACAGGAATCTATCTGTAATTGCAGATTATTTGGTCCCAAAAGAAAGATGACCTCAGCAATTGCCAGATGGCATAGTAGTGCACGACCACCTGGTGATGCGCTAGAACAAGCTTATGCTGACCAGCTCGAGGCGGAGATGCAGGAAATGGCCATTCAGTTGCACAAAGTATACTCTGCCGTGTATTTTCAGTTACAGTACATGATTATCATTTATGTGAACAATTCACTTTTTTAAAATTAGCGCTGTGAGGAAGTAGAGGGCCTACAAAGTCAAGTGTCTCAGGAAAAAGAGCTACGCACAGTGATGGAGGGATGCCTAATGGAGGATAAAATGGCTTGGAGAAGGGTGCATGCTGAGCTAGTGGAGAACCACAGACTGGCCCAGGATATGAATGCTACTCTGGCAAAGACCAGAGCCTGCTGCGCTGAACTGCTTTCTTATTTTGCTAGTGAGACCACTGATAGCAAGACAAAAGATAAAAGTAAGTGAACTGCCGATAACTGATTTAATAATATAAATTTAATTTTATGATATATTATAAAGAATACATAATTTTCTAGTTGGGGCATCTGCTGTAGAATTAATAAAAAGGCTTGAATCATATGAAGAAGCACTGGGTATGTACAGAATATTTTAAGTTGATTTGTTGAAGTTTTGTCCCAACTGAATTGCTGCATGTCATTACAGCTAGAAATTTGCAAACTGTCCTTCAGAGCCTACGGCGTCTGAGTGCTCCTGAAAAAGTATCTGATAGCTGGGAAGGGCCTTGACGTTTTTAAGGCAAGTGTGTTGATCTGTTTTTACTGGACACCAAACTGACTTGACTGAATTTCTGTTATGTTTTAAAATTAAGGGTTCCCTGTTTATTTTGACGAAGGGTGAAGTGTACCACCCTAAAAAGCATCTCAATGTGGACAGTCCACAATGCAGGTTCAAACCAGGCTCATCCAGGTCAGCAAAAGCGGACAAAGCTCTTCCTGATGACTTGGCTGGCGATGGGGCTACAGCTCCAGGAGAATAACACAGGGGTAACAGACCTCAGGCTTGTGCTTCCGGATGAAGGTGGCGGTATATGTATTGAAATCTGAAAGCAGAGACAATGGTCTCTGCTTAAAGTACTAAACTGTGAAGTGCTCCTAAGATACTGTGTAGACAATATGAAATGTCACCTCAAGTGTAGATGGATTATCAAATTAGGCCTATTAATTTATACAGGCTGCTAACCTCTTAAGTTGATGTTAATGGATTGTACCCATTGTGGAAGTGTATTCCTTTATTACAGACAATCAAAATAAATGTGATTTCATAAGAGGGTTCATTTTGATTAGCTGCAATTTAAAACCTGTTGTATGAACATATTTTGTCTGTTGAGTTCAATTCAGAAAAAAATGTCAAAGTTGTAGATGGAGAGCAAAACGTGACACACACTAGGTGCTATGTGAGTGTGTACTCAGTGTGCCCTAGCTTTGTCCTGACAGAAGACCAGAGAGCACAAGTGAGTCTGAACTAAGGCTAGGAGGGTTACAGGAACAATTTAGGGGTAAAAAAAAGAATACTTACAGATGGTAGCTTTAACACTTATCACACAAGACTGATTGTAAATGTGCAGAACCACTGCTGTGGTGGCAATAGTCCTGAGTCTGACAGAAGAAGCTGAAATCACCAACAATATTATATATCTGTTTTGAGAAAACAGATCTAAAATTTAATTCATAACATGTTTGCCGGTTCAAAATTATGCATTGCTTTGAGGTATTACTTCCCCTAATAGTAACATTATCTACATTATCTTCAAATAGGTCATAAGTACTATGTACAAGCATAAATTAGGAGACACTTCTGTGCTGAAGTCAGGCGCAGGTCCAGGAGAAGACTGTAGCTCTTCCTTTTCCTGTCCACAGCTATATAGAGCTTCATATAAAATACAGTTCCATGTCTTCTTGATCCCCCACGGCAATGGAGCTTTCATAGGCAGTGATGACTGTGACCATCAAGTGTACTCACACAAGTGTCCACAGCCAGCAGGGCAATGGGCACTGCCTTTGAGCCAGTTCATAATGTGCTCGAGATGTCCACCGTGACTGCAGCCCTGACACCAAACGAATAGTCCCTTCACAACATGGTGGCAGACGGCGCACACACTAGCACATTGGTGACATCTAGAAAACAATCATGACTTTAGTTGGATACATTTTTGAACTTTAAGTTTTACATTACATTTTACCTGTCACAAATCCAGCCCTTGTTGCTCATAGGCCGTTTGCAGTTACTACAATTGATGTGCAAAGTGGTTGAAGTCTGGTTCAGGCTGGTGATGGCGCTGCACGTACTTAACTTGATAACCTCATTGGACACATTCCACAGCTCAAACCGCTGCAGCAGGTCTATGTAGGACATGTACCAGTGCTCCTGACCAATGCAAAGACCATTCCACAGGGAGGGTTTAAGAACCTCAGCTTCTACCCACAGATTTTCATCAAGTGCAATAAAAACTCACCTGCGTTAGTTCATCAATCTCTTTCCTAATTCTTTCTCCCAAAACAATGAGCACTGATACAGCCATCTGCACATCACCGCGCTCGGCGTAAAATGTCAGCATCTCTCTCACAATTGGACAGAAGAAGCTGGCGGTCAGATGTGGGCTGTACAGCGGCTGACATATGGAAATGAGGGAGAAAGACTCGATGGGGGTCAGACAGGTGACTTCTGCCTCGTTGCCACTGACATGTGGAGAGTCGGCCTTGTCCTGCTGTAGGTGCTCTGGAGCTGATGGGTGGTCCATGATCTCATGACGCAGCTGAAAGCCTTCAGGGGGCAGTGTATACTCCTCCTGCTCTGTGGTCAGATAACACAACGGCTGTCAGAAATAATACAATTTCAATAAAATGGACTGATGTAAGGAGAGCACTGGGTTAGAACCTGCTTGATTGTCATGCTCCATGGAATAGAGGTCATCATCATCTAACTCAGCATCACCAAACATGTACTCGGCTTGGCCTTCGCTGCCTTCGGTCTCTTCATTCTCTGTTGGGAAATATAATAATATTTGCCATTGTTAACCTATATCAAAACTAATTATTTTATGATTTTTGAATTTCAGTGCATTCTCACCCTCATTATTATTTGTGATGTGTGCGTTGGTAGGGTCTAAGTGGATACTGTCCTGCCTATTTTCACCTTTGCTTCGCTCCAGTGCCCTCTCCGCAGCCAGATCCTTCATACTGAAACTTAAATTACCCAACAGAGCTTAATAGCATATTAAAAGATAGATAAATACTTTATTGATCCCAAAGGAAATTAATTTATACTGCTGTTTATCATTTTCAAAATGCTTCACCTGCTGCAACCAGATGTAATATTTGCTGGGTCTGAGAACATAATTCGCAACATTGACCAGGTGGTGGAAACCTTTAGATGGAAATGTAGAAATTATACCACAATGAGCAAATACTCAGATATAGTTTTTAATTACGGACAAATATAACTTACTGACCTGAGGCCTTTTGAGATCCTGAGCCACTTTTGCATTATGATCACACAGTTCAGCAAAGGGTTTTCCACTAAGGAGGTAGAGCTGTGCTGTTTTAACAAACCAGTCCATGCGATTACTATCCAAGTCTGTTTCAAATACACTAAGGGCACTGGACACATGTGCAAATTGTTCTGTCAGATCTGGCTTCTTGAAAAAGAAGATGGGGTTGCGCCGGTCACCTCCAGCATAAGGCTTCCTGCTGGAGTCACTGCTAATCAGACTCTCCTTAGCGGCAAAAGCCAAGTCACCGAACAGGCCAAAACAAAGGCCCTCAGGGTTGGCCTTGTCCACAGGACGAGTGGCATCTTTGAACATGTGCTGGTAAAGTGTACTGTCTTTGGACCCGGAGAGGAGAATATCCGGCTCACGCTGATGACGCCAGACAATGCCAGTGGTAACGTCTTTGTGCTCTTCAAAGGTGGCAAAGGGAATGAACGGTCTGCGAATATCCCACACATAGATATTGTGATCCACCATCATAGAGCAGGTGGCCAAGTGAAACTTCTTCTCAGGTCGCCACTTTACTCGTGCGACTGAAGCTATTGTTTGGACGCAGTAAATCTCTTTAGCTCTGTTGGTGGTCATGTCCCATACTTTCACCATCTTGTCTCTACCTCCAGTTGCTAGCCAGCCCCTGTAATACAATCAAGTCAAATATCATCCTAGCAAATTTATATAATACATCATATAATCCTAAGAAAATTCACAGTCAAAATAATAGTAGTTTAATAAATAGTTTTTCTGACCTGTCATCAGGATGCCAGTCACAGCAGAACACCGGACCAGTGTGGGCAGTGAACATCCTTTCATATCGGTCAGGTCGTCTAATGTCCCATAGTTGGACGTTGCCATTTTCAAAGGATGCCGCAAAGGTAAAATAATCTTTCATACTGAACTGGACATCTCTCACGCTTTCAGACTGACCTAAAACAAAGATTGGATACGTGTCATTATGGGCACTAATTTTGTGACACTACATTTTTTTCCAATCTTTACATTTTACCAGAAAAAGTGCTGACAGATTCCTTCTTGCGCAGGTCAAAGCACTTCATAAAGCCATCCTGCGATCCGCTCAGCAGCATATAGACTTCAGTTGGGTGGAAACAGACTTTGTTTACAGTGCGTTTGTGTTCAGTAAATAATTGGTCCTGCTTGTTACGGGACGGTTTGCCGAGATTCCAGGTAACCACTGCACCATTGGTGGCTGCAGTCGCCAGCAAATTCTCCTCCATTTGGTGCCACATGACATCTGCACAGCTGAAGTTTAAGGAGGGTTTTCGCCCAACTCTAAGATTGAGCTTCTCCACAAACTGCTCCTCCTCAAGGCTGTAGATTTTAAAGATGTTGCGGCCTGCCACAACCACCTGTGTGGCGTCACGGCACACACTGATGGCATTAGCAGGTGCATCCAAGTGGCAAAACATAGTGATGCCATTGATGCCGCTGCTGATGCTGAGGGCTGTAGTGACCCGTGACATCTTCTCCATTTTCCTAACAAAAGATATAAAAGACAAACTATTTTATTAACTGCTAAACACTATACTATACCTATGGTCATGAGCTCTGGGTAATGACCGAAAGGACAAGATCGCGGATACAAGCGCTCGAAATAAGTTTCCTTAGCAGGGTGACTGGGCACTCCCTTAGAGATAGGGTGAGGAGCTCAGTCACACAGGAGGAGAGGAGAGGAGCCAGTTGAGGTGGCTCAGGCATTTGTTTCCGGATGCCTCCTGGGTGCCTCCCTCAGGAGGTGTTCCGGGCATGTGCCACCAGGAGGAGACCCCGGGGAATACCCAGGACACGCTGGAGGGACTATGTCTCTCGGCTGGCCTGGAAACGCCTTGGGGTCCCCCAGGAGGAGCTGGAGGACGTGTCTGGGGTGAAGGAACTCTGGGAGTCCCTGCTTAGACTGCTGCCCCCACGACCCTGCCCCGGATAAGCCGAAGAAAATGGATGGATGGATAAACACTATACTAGATTTAGTGAGAAACTAAATAATATTACAAAACTCGGCCAGTAGGTGGTAGTCAAAGAGAGCCTAATGCGACATAATATGTATGGCGTATACAACTACTTACATACCAAGACTGTCGCAATTCCTAAAACGAGACAAACATTTTGTAATGAGATTACAGTTACCTCTCATACTGACCTGTTAAATAAGTGCTGGACCAGTCAGTGACTGCAGCACGGCGTTCATCTCATCACGTGCGGTCATCAGAGTTGTCTTTCACGCGACACACGGTCATCTCAGCAAAATATGGATCAACCTCATCTGTGGAAAATACAGGTATTTCTGATGCAGACACACACACACACATTATCCAACCTAGTTCAACGAGCCTAGAAGATAACGTGTCTACTACACGCTAAATAAAATATTTACACATCATGCCAAATGGTTCAAACACATCCAAACACAAAATCCTATTTAAACTGTACTGAAATTTTACGTAATTCAATAATATGAATATATCTAAATAGGGATTTCTTATGGCACAAAGTTCTGCTACAGCAAAGAACTGATCGAGCATGCATGCAGTATTACCACACTGGTATGCTAAGGCTAGTATGTTAAAATACAATTAAATAATCATCCCGTAATCAAACATAGGTTCCGTTACATCTCTAAAGAAGCCATATGGTTTTATCTGTTGTGTTTTATAGACAATATAGCAGAAACGGAGAGCTAACCTTCTCAACTGTTGTTACTTTTTACAGCACCGGAAGTTCACGTAATATCGCGAGAAAGAATGACGGAAACACCACTCTACCATCTTTCATTCAGGAGTTTTTTCTATTATCTTACAGAGTTTTTCTGTTATCTTACAGTGTATTATTATTTGTGTTTGTAGAATCTGTTCTTTTGGAAAAGTAGCTCGGTCTGACATGTGTGCTCTGTTTACCTGCGCGGAGCCTGCCACATGGAGAAAGGTTCATCAGAAATACTGGGATGTAGTGGAATCCAGGATGACAGCCAAGACGGGCAAGACAGCCCAAAAACTGCTGACCCTGGACAAGTGGTAATGTTTTGAAAAATTGTTGACTTGACTTTTTACCTACTTTGCATACTGCAGAATGATCGGTTTAGATTTTGTGAGGGATTACACTAACTTTTTGTAATAAGATTTAATTAATATGTTGTTATGCTGTGAGGTACCAAGAAGAGCTGCCTGCTGCCATTTCAAATCGGTTTGACAGGCATGTCACTCACGTGGAGCTGGTGAAACTAATGGAGTGGAAACTTATTGTAAGTTTGTTTGCTATTTTGTTTTATGTAAAGCTGCCTCTATTCATACCCTACATGCATTCTATCTCAGAGAGGCAAGTTCAGGCCTCGGCTGCAGCAGCTGGTGGAATCTAACAGTGCAGACACAGTGGAGAAATGTTCAAGAAAGGCCTTCAGACTCCTGCCAGATGTTCAGGCAGCCATCACTGAGCTCAGTGCCCTGAAGGGTGTTGGCCCTGCCACGGCATCAGGTATGCATTGCATACCTCTGCTCTGTAATGTGCACATGCTTTAAACACTCCCCAGACCACTCACCAAGTATTGTCTTAGTTGATAGTCTACTTTTGTGCCAATTGACACTTGAATTGTTGCAGCCATATTGGCAGCTGCAGACCCACAGCAGGCAGCCTTCATGTCAGATGAGGCCATTGAGAGCATCCCAGGATTAACGCCTATCCAATACACTGTCAAACACTATATCCTCTATTTGACGAAGATAATTGAACAAACTGAAAAACTGAACAGAAGTAAGGAAAGCTCGTTCACTGCACTTTCTTTTATCTCTGTGGCCACTTTTGAGCATCTTTGTCTCTCCCCTCAGTGGACTGCCTGCCGGACTGGACTCCTCAGAGGCTGGAGCAGTGTTTGTGGGCCTTTAGCATTGCCACAAAGCAGCAGCTCCCATTTCTACAGGACATCTCTGTAAGCAACAAAAGAAACTCTGAATGTGAGGAGAAACCACAAAAGAAATTGAAAGTAAAATAAAATCATGTATGCTCCAATATTTTTTTCAAAATAAATATTAATAATAGAACAAATAAGAACCTTGGTTTGCACAAAAGCAGTGGGATGTTGCCACAGTATTCTTTATTTATATTATTTTAAATTAAAGCAAAGTACAACGAACAGTACAAAATAAAACAATATATATATATGTACATATTTACAATATAAAATTGTTCTGTTCAGAACTTTTAAAAAGTACAATAGAGTGAATCATTAATGAGGACTTTGATATATATACATTATCCATATGTTAATTTAGCTTTCCTTTAGTTTCATGATCAGGAGAAAAATAGCTTCATCTGCCTTTTCTTTGTGTAAACGCTGTTGGCACAACCTCTGGTCTGTGAGAGGCTGGACCTTTAGCTTGGCACCTGTTTCATCGATAAAAGTGAGCAGTTCATGAAGACGACCGCAGCAGCACAGATATCTGAAGCCGATCTGAAACAAATCTTCACTACAGACTGCAGATGCTGGAAACTCTACATTACTCATAGACAATTTAAGTACTGACATAAACTCTTCAGTGCGTGTCAGTCATGTTAAATGTGACCAGTAATTTAATTTCCTACCTAACTAATTTGATCCTGTCTAAGGTTGTTTTGGCACACTGAACTAAAGCTTTGTTAGGAGATAACCTACAATATTATTATCTGGCTGTGTTACTTGCTAAGTTGGGTCATGAGTATTACTCTTACCCATGCTCTTACCTCAGAAATCAATCTGAGGGAAGCGACTGTAGTTAAAATGAACTTAAGATATTTTGCAGTGTGACTTTACTTGGTTTTCATTTTTTGTTAGTTATTGTATATCGTGCATGCAGCAAACAGCAAAGCAGCCTTCCTACACTGTGCGCAGTCCAAGGCATTGGGCGTAACAGTACTATGAATTAGCATAGGGGAGGTATACTAATTAGGTCTGCAGGATGTCTATAGCAGTTAAAGTTATGGCACATATGAGTATATCAAGTAAAACATGTCTTATGGGAATCACAATAGACCCACAAGCATTTGCTCAGATCTTCAAAAGCCAAAAGAAGAAGAAGAAAATAAAACGACAGCAATTAAATTAAAATCATGCAGACTGTCAGAGGTTTATCAAAGTACAAAGTTGTGTTTACAGTTTTCCTTAAAGTTCTTTTAGTTTGTGATGTGCACCTGACAGGCATCTGCAGTTGAGTAAATTCTGCTGTAGTAACTAGAGTTTAATCCAGGTTTCACTTTTTACTTGATCACAAGTTAATAATAGTATCAAGTTGTTCAGAGGAATGCCTATCCGGTTTGTTTCGGTCTTCAACAGGGGGGAGTGATCTTAACAGCTAAAGCGATGTTCAAAGACACAGCCTTTTTTACTAGCCCTTTTTACATCCTATAAAACTAGAGTTAAAGAGGCACATTAACCTCCTCTCTGGTGCTGCCTTCATCTTCATTGTATGCATTATTCATCATGTAACTCTGCTTTCCCAAGCAATAATATGCCCTAGTATATGTCATTTTCCATCAAAGGTTCATTACCTGTGAATACTGCCTTATCATGTGAAAATGGCTTATTGTGGCCTTTTTACACTGAGCTAGAGATTAACAACATATCTCTGGACAGTTTGATGCAGAAGTGAATACTCTGAACTGTATTTATGACTCATTGTCACGATTGGCATATCTATAACTCTTGGCACCAGGATCAAATGGACAGTCAAATTAACTATTGATTCCATAACTGTAAAAATATAACACATGTAAATCTAATTGCTCTCTTCTCCTTTGTAGAGTTCATATATTATAACAAGGAACTGGGGACAGAGTTGAGGACTTGGCACTTGGCAAAAATAGCTGCATCTTATATTAGTGGTAAATGAATAAGCTGTAAAATGAGGTTCGCTACATGAAAATATCTCGCACAGTTTATCACACCAAAACAATGAGTGTTTGGCTTACGGTTGCCAGCTACTCATCAAAAAATCAAACCAAAAATCCTTGTATGTTGAGTTCTTTCTATGGCTTATTCTGTTAAACAGTAAACAAACCAAATGGGTTGTCCAGTTTGGCCTCATGGACTATTTTCAGAAGAACAACAATCATGGCATCATTTTTTTCTGCACCATTTGAAACATAAGTTTTTCAATGAATGAGGGAAAATACAAATAATAAATATACTCTTAGTTATTAACATACAATATACACATCCACATCAAACCAAAGGAACAACTTAGAACACTGTTTTTCTTATAGATACATTCCTTTACAAAAGTATACAGTCCCTAAGAATGAGGTAAAGACTGGGTCCAACCAAGACTCCAATACTTCTGAGAGAAGATCAAAAGTCAGGCGATGACAGAGTCCCAGTCAAGTCAATCACAACAGCAGATGCTAGTATTTGGATTGTGATTTTTATGTTTAAAAACTGTTTCCCTGTTTCAAGGACATAAAGGAGAAGTGTCATTGTGTCCTCCACAGAGCATCACATGGCATATTTTTTGTGCCTGTGCAAATATATAGGACTCAAAAACTTGCCGCTGGCATGATCACTATCCAGAATTTCAGATTAAATTTTTTAAAAACTATCTATTCCTGTTGTGTCAAATATGCTGTAGCACAGTGTAAATTCAATGTAAAATAATAATAGAGAAAACATCTTCAACTATATGTATAGTTATACTAGATTTCTTCCCTATATTGGGAAATGAGGTGTCAGATCAACTTTTACACATGTAGTATGTCTTCAAATTAAAGCACCTGTTACAGCAAACACTTTGAATAAGGCAGGTATTGTTTTCCTCTTTGCTACTAATTACTGCTACTTTAGTATTTGCTGTATTGCCTCCCATTGGAAACAAAAGGTCTTTAGTGATTGTGCTAAAACTCACTTTTCATACAAGGGTAAAATTGATTTGGGTTCAGTTCCTTCAACTATTGGTGTTTTCCTTCTTTTTCTAAACATTAACAAAATATAAGATGTAAAGAGCAAAATACTTAAGTGCTCACTTAAAGCTGGTGATATGAGTGAAACGTATATATCAAAACATACACAGAAGGCTCCTCAAAAAGTATATGAGGATTGTGACCTGTAGTTGTTGCTACTGATACACCCTCTTTAATAAAAGAGATACATTTCTTTGATTTGCAAAGTACTGTAAAAAGGATTCCTGTGGTGATTCTTGTGACAGATTCTGGAATGTGATTACTCTATAGGGAGACAGGAGCCAGTAATTCCTGTTATTTATGATCAAAGAAATATACAAAAACAAAACAGTTGAACCTGATCATGTAGCACTAACAATGTGCATTTTCAACTCACTCACACACTACAGACCTATAGAATGTTGTGATGTCATCTGAAACCCAGCATATTGGGGGGCTAAGTAGAAGTCAGTATCTTTACGAGATAGGCCTTCATCAGGGGGGCAGAGGGATCTGGACCCCCAAAAGCTCGTAAGCGAAGATGTTCCAGAAGATAGCAAACAGCAGAAAGGTGATGAAGGAGAAGATGATGACCCACCACGAGCACTGTTTCTGGAGGCTCTCCTCGTAGCTGCGCAGGATGAGCAGGCCCATGCTGATTCCCACTACGGCCCCTGACAGGTGTGCCATGAAGCTGGGCTGGGGTCCAGATGAGGGCAGGGGCGGGGAGAAGCGGAGCCAAACAGCACGTCCCACCTCCGAGCTCACTGTGGAACAGAGAAGTACACTTAAAATAGGGCACACCAACAACACCACAAGGCCCTCTACTAATATTGGCAACATGTTAAAATTATTTATGATAATTAAAGAAAATGGTTTATTTGAGTATTAAGAATTACATTATAATATATACTTTGAGAATTAATTTTCTTGGTGTAAACTGTCATTCAATCATTCAATCATTGAAAACAGTTGTATGTATGTGGCATTTTTAATTATTTCAAGTACAGTGTTGTGAGTGAATAAGGGATAGGTGAAAATAGAAATTTTCAGAGCATTCAAGCTTCAAATTTAAGACTAAGAGGGTTACAAAATCATCCCTGAATCAGTCAAAATACAACCAATGATGAGGGAACACCAACATAACATTGATAAAAGTTCATAAAAGTTGTTTTTGCCCCCTTCAAATAGGTAACCCAAATCCAACAAACTTCAACAGTTCACATTTTCATTTAGCTTTTTTGGCTGTAGGAGTAATTCTACAGAAAGTGCCAAGAAAGGGACAAGATTGACCTAGGTCTTATTCAAAACCAACTCATGCGATTTCAAAAACTTCCCAATATTTGATGCAGACGTGTTAATTTTTCAAATTCTGGGCTGTCGTCCAGTAAAACGGTACACTCTCGACTTTGTGGCAATAGTTTGGGGAAGGAACAGAGTGTCCATGAATAAATTATTTTGTCAAGTCGGTGTTGAAGAAATTGAGTGGCCTGGAGTCTCACCTTTGCAGATAGATCTCACAATGCAGTGCAGTGACTTTCAGTAGCAGTCTACAGAAGAATGTCTATAGTTTGGAAGTAGCACTGCACTTATATGGCGGTGTAAGGAGAGTGCATACTTTTGGTCGCATGGTAAATGTCCAGCTCTGTAGATGCAAATTTATAAACAAGATGAACAGATTTGCTGATGTAGACTTGATCTTCTGACAAAACTTTGTAGGGCATGTTTCTAAATGCCAGAAGATGGAGTACATAAAACCATCAAAAGGATAAGCACATCACAGCTTAATGGGCCATTATGCAATTTTTTTGGAGAAGGGTTCACCACCTGCTTCTCTCCATACGATGTAATTAATTGCCAGGAAATTTCCACAGAATGGCATTAAACGTATCTATCTCCAAGGAGATAAGCAGGTGACTCCTCCAGGCCAAGTTACAGGTCAGATCTGTGGAGAGGTGAAGCTGCTCAAGGTAAGAATTCTTCTGTCCCAGACTATTCCCATGTCTGAAAACTGACCATAATACCAGTGCAAACTCTGCCCCCTGATACCAGCAATGTGTCATCTTTTATTTTGAAACTCAACCGCTTGTGTTTGTGAGAGGCAGACAGAGCCTTTCACATTCCAACAGAGACAACGGGCTCCAGTCGCAGTTTGGAGGCGGCAGTCTCAGGACAGATGGAGGGACATATTGCTCACAAATGAAAGTCAGAGCATTGGCGTTTGCATAGAGAAAAGGACATTCCAAAATCAAACAATGTGTCCAATATAATGCATGAGGTACTAGGGATGTCAAAAGTACGGCAAAGTATTGCCTTGGTTAAAATTACTTTAATTCAAAATATTAATCTAAATTTGAGTGGTTATGAATTGGTTAGACTTAATTGCTTATAAGACATATTTCAAATGGTTCCAATTAATTTAGTGTGACTAAAGAAAATATAAAATATGCCAGGGTAATCGCAAAAACATTTTTTTTACAACATTGACGACTAATTTGTCTTGAAACATTTGTAGTGTATTTAAAGAAGTCGGAGACATCCGACTTCTATCAAGTAAATACATCTTGTAAAAACTACTGAAAACTAGTTCACATCTTGAATGAAGTAATAATGAAGTAATCTTTGAATTGAATATGATGATACATTGAACTTACTGCAGACCAAAGCCAGGATCATGCGGAGTAACTTGTACGGACAGCGCATCCCAGCCCAGTTCTGCAACACACAGCAGAAATGGCCTGTCAGTGAGAAATATCACCAGGCACACACACGCCTTATACGAGCAAAGTTACACAAGTATTTACAATGTAGGAGGACATGGGATTACTGTATGGACAGCAAGTGACAAGGTCTTATAAGGTAATGTGATATCAGGAGAAAGAGTAAATGTCCACTATGTCCATTCAAAAGTTTTGTTGATTTACAATGTGACAATAACAAAAATATGCATCAACTTAGCTATAGGGCTATTAAAAAAATATTGACCACAATGTACTTTATTTGTCACACTGTTGAAAAAAGTCTGTATATTATTCACTTTGAACAGTTATGCACAAAAAGAATTACAAGAAATATTGCAAATTTAGTTTGCTTTTTCACACATTTTAATTTCTGATTGCACATTTTACTTTAACTTAAAAGAACACTATGTGCACTTTCTGGTGAAGGGTCCACTACCAGCTTGTGTTCATGGAAATGTCATTGTTTTGTCTATAAGGTCCAACAGTTTGGCATTAAACTGATCAATTTGCATGGGCACAAGCTTGCAATGCCACCTGGCCAACTTACCAATTAGATCTGTGGAGGGGTGAGCTCACTCACTGTATGAATGCATGTATTTTTGAGCAGTAACACACATTGAATGAATGCAACATAGATAAGTTTAATGCCATACTGTGAATTACTTTCAGCAATAATATCTCTCTCCATAGAAACAATCTTGTGGCATAGCCCCTACCAGAAAATTTACATGGTGCACCTCTAATTTTGTACATAAGGAAATCATTATTTTCTGTGCAAAATGTTTACTGTATCCCAGATTCAAATTCTTGTATTCTATCGTTGTTCTAGTATTGAAGTTAATTATTCACTTCATTTACCGCAATATAAAGGGACACTACATAGTGGAAACTTCAGTGCAGTAAAAATAGACACAGCTCATTATGACTAATTGCACAAATCATATCCATGCTCAGATCTCCAACTGCGATAATATTCCCCATTGTTTCTCTGTTCTGTTGAGCAATGATTGATGAATTAAAGTTTGTGTAAGTCCGTATGCTCAAAATGAAAAGGACCATCACCGTGCTGCTGAGGTAAGCTACAGAATGGCATTGAACTGCTACTGATGCTGCTTTCTGATGAGAGGCAATTTGCTTTGACATGTCTCGGCGGGAGAGCAGAGATATGGTATTCATCTGTAGAAGACGTCCATTCTATTTTGTCTGTTGGAGATCTTATTATCAGGCTGCTGACACTGAGGAGGTATGGGGTGCAGAGGTTCAGAGAAGTGCTTGCATTTCAGATATATAGCATAAGGAGTGTGATGTTCGAAGATTTGTTTTTCTGACACTTCCCCGCAGTATTTCGCTCCACGTTAAAACACCTTTGATAAACCCTAACGTCAAATGGAAAGTTACTGAAGAAGCCAGCGCTTCCTTTTAAAACATAAAACAAAGTTATCAAAGCAAGATGTGCCTTCGAGGATTTCCCAGGCAGACATCAAACAGTGCATTCTGTCTGGTAGAGTCTGTGTGTATGGTAGTAACCGTTACAGTCTGTGAGTCTCGACAGCGCCCCCTGGCCTGTCCACTGCCTGCCCTGATCTGAGCAAGAGGGTTAGTTAAAGTCATTCGTCATATGTAACGCTGCCAAGGGGAATGTGCTGTCCGCTCATGTGACACAGCGCCATGCATCCAGGGGAGACAGACTAATAATAAAGCCAGTCAAACATGTGTGAATGAAACAAATCAAAACTCCAGGTATGTTTTTGAAGAGGTAACATTATAACAGGGCTTAAAAGTCTCAGGAGTCAATTTTGTGTAATAAAGGATCTGTAAAAACAAAAACATATATATGATGACCGCTTCAAAAATAGGTCACACATACTATAAATCTATGTATCTTAATTATTTAATCCGCTGTCAGGCACATCTTGTTTAATCTAAAATAATCTAAAAAAAATTTTGTTTCATAATGTGACAAACAGGGAGATACAATATATACAAATGATGTCGGCTTGTCAACACTAACTTAATAACAGAATAAAAGTCTAATAATAAATGCAGTATTTTCACAGCTGGTTACAACAGCTGCTTAATCTGAAATTAAATTTAAAAAAAAACGAGAAGGCAAGAGAAACTGAAATATCATCAACATTAAAACAAGATTAAATGCAGGATTAGGTTGGCTACTGAGCTAGTGGTCACATAAGTGTAAGTTAGACAAAGAAAAACACTAACATGTAGGGACGGATATTGAGGGAGAATTCAAGCTTTTTTCGGGTTAGCTACTTTTGGTGGGCAATAAAATGCAGCGCAAGCAAAGTCTACTATATTTTACCCATTAAGACCTATAATATACATTCCACAGCATTGCAATGGTTCATTAATGTTAAACCTCGAGAACCTCTCAGCTGCACAGAATGTCCACTCATTATAGGTAGGGTTTCAGAAAAGGACTATAAACTTGTAAATACATGCAGTTTCAGTCTCCCTCTATTTTGCTGACATTTGACTAAGAGCTCACACGGGCCGTAAAATATTTCACAGCCGACCAGTAAAAATCTTTGTCACGTTAATATGACAGGTCTGTAACAGGAGGTTAGCATTCAATCTCCTCACTCAATGTCTCAAAGTGACATTTCGACTGCACTGAATGGCTTTTTGTGAACAATGTAGGCGACGATTATGATTGCCGTTACCATGACGACGTTGGCGAGGTGGGCCGAGCAGAGTGCGTAGACCCCCCCTGAGCCCCCCACCACGGGAGCGCGCATGTCGGTGATGGACACTGTCAGCGAGCCTGCAAAGAGACAGGGAAAGAAAGATTAGACAGAAATGTATTGGGAATTTAGATGGTGTTTAGTGTGGGCTTTTTTGAGGGGCAGGCTTTTTTGAGGCAAGCAAAACAAAGCTTCGTCATCCCCAGTCACCTTGCTTGCGGCTAAATATGAGAGCAACTATGTGCTTTATCAGCTGACCTTCACATACCCTTTTATTGTCTTAAAATGCCAGACAGACTGCAAAAATATTCCAAAAGGCGGATATAGGCAGAATGGATTTTTCCTTCAGGAAGCTGGCATTTAAAAGGAGGAAATCAAAAGCAGCAGGTGGATCTTGCTGAACAGGATAATTTGCCGAAGCTGCCTCGTGTTATATTCATGAGACAGTCTAATCTGGGATATGTGGACATGGAGGGGAGCCAAAGATGCAGCCAAATGTTGTTTTAATAGAAAAGTGCAGCGGTGTCTCGTGGCTGGAGAGATATAAGGCGGAGAATCATAAAGAAATAATGGAGCATGGGCCCAGACAGGGTTGTAATAGGCCAGTGCACTTTCACCGGCATAGACAACACAAACTAATCACTTCTTCTGCACATATTGCGAGATAGGGACAATTTTGCCTGTTAGCAGCGTGTAGAAAGAACGATTAGGAAGCCATTACTCCCCACTAATCACAAGAGGGCAGTAGAAAACCTACAAATTTACATACTAATTATTATGATGCCTTGGAGGTGGTCTTGTTACAGTAATAATGACACGCTGATTAATTGGGTTTTGCAAACTCAACCTGCTTCAGTATCAGTTTGGGGTGGCAGTACTCATCCAAAAGGTTTGAAGTTTGATTCTTGCTTGTATCATATTGCTGTTGTGTACTTAGGCAAGCCACTTAACCCACCTAACCTGTATGAATGTGGTGTGTATGAGCGCTTGGTAGTGGCTGTAGGGGCAGATTGGCAGCAGTAGACCCTTTTATTGATCCTGAGGGAAATTCAAGGTGTCCAGAAGCACAGTTCTAAAACAGTGGTCTTTAGTAAGTGATATTTAGTTACTTTGACTAACTTGGGAGCAAAGTCAGAACAATATTGTTAATTACCTAGCATAAACTTACACATTACATCTTACTGGCTTACATTGCACTCTTAATTTGTTTGTCCAAATAAATTCCAACAAATTATTAACTAACTATAACTATATTATTCATACTGTATCATAAACAGTTTCTAAATGAAAATCCAAAAATCCTGATACCAAAAAACTGACCAAAAATATGACATCTTACTTCATCTATCCAGTCCCCCATCTCTATAAAACATATAGATATAAAATGTATGCCATCTAAAACCCATCAATTAATTTTATTGTCAGTCATAATGTTATCTTTGGCCGGAGTATGACCATGTACACAATATCATTTGATCCTTATAAAGCAGCAGACGTCCAAAATGGAGACCTCCCCTCTGCTCTGCTGTGGTGCTGAGCAAAGATGTCATTCTTGATGCATTGCTACACCTTGATCACGTAAAGACTCTACTCTGACAGAATTCTAAGCAGACGCCGCCTTGTCCGCTACAGTCAGCTCCCTCTAATTATGCAAATGAGCTGATAAGAAACGCGCCAGATAAAACAAAACAACCTACTTTTGAATTGCAGCTTGAGTTTTGCCACAGTTGTGATCTGGTATCTATAATGCATGTAGTAGTATTCATATTCCTCTGTGCACACAGGTATAAACATGGGCCCTAAAGAATGCCTTGTCAGCCCACGATGGCAGCAATGATTATGGAGAGACAGATGGTAATCAAGAGCGCCTTCCCAAGTCATTCATCTCAACACACTGACACCTCAGACACTTCCCTACCTGGATTTATGGACAATTTGAAGGTTGGACCTCAGCTCAAGTTATGACAAGATTCACTACACTGCAATATTTCTAGACATCCACAAAGTTGCAATTATACAACTTGGTATCTGATTTGTTCAAAAATATACAAACTAGAGCAAGTACAGCTGTCTCCCCTCTTGAATTTGTCTTGTGCTGAGATTTACAACATGCCCAAGATAAATTTATGGCTTTTATGTAGCAGAGAAATGAAATGTCTTTTGATTAAATATTGATGGAATAATCAGATGCTGTCTGGAGTTGTGATGATGTTGGGGTTAGTGTATATAGGGTGAATGTAATTAATGCTTAATGTAGAAAGTGAAAAATAGATATGTGTGGAAAGAGGAATTACAATTTAAAAGCGTATATCAAAACTGATCAACAGACTTAAAGCTATACATGGCATAAGAAATACATAAAAAACATAAAAAGTGTCGAGAAATGAACTGGGACTAATGTGTTACATAAACTTGGTATCTCTACTTAGTATCTTTACAATCAATTATCTGATTTCATTGACAACAATACACACCTAAAGGGCGCATTTTCTGATCTATGTTAAAATGTTGTTTCCTCATCAAAAACATATACTTGTTTAACAGACAAATGCTGAATATTTATGCTCAGTTCTTCTCTTAAACAGAATGTGATGTGAGTATATAAATGTGGACCACATAATCTCAATTCCAAACCATAAAATTCATGAAAAGATTAATTTAAGTCAGTATATGAATATTCACACACAACACAAAATCATGAAGTAGGCCAAGTCCTGGGTCCTCATTCACTTGTATATTGTTACCATTTTAAAGAGTCTATTTCATCAGACATACATTTCCATGTTGTGATGTTTAATGTGACTAAATTTAAGTGCCTCTATTTAAATCTCTTTCCATCTAAAAGCTACTGGTTTATGTGACACTGCCATCTGTGTGTGAGGAAGAGGAAGCCTGGAGGAAGAGGCTGGCTCCGTGGGTGGGGGGTGGGGTGGGGTGGGTCTGAGGGGTGGCTATAGTGCATATTAAACAGGCTTGTCGTGTGGCTTCTCCTGCTTTGGGGGATTTAAGATTTAGGATTTTCGCACTCAGCAGCAGCTCAAGACGTGACAAGTATTTTTGGTGCACGCTGACACTTTCAAACAGTATATTGTTTATTGTGCTGTTCTCGGCTCGGGGGAATCTTTTTGTGAGCTTGCAGAATTCCCAAATGTACAGCAAAAATGTTGGTAAATTATGGGTCAGGCCAGGGAGATCTTGCGCAGTATGAGCTTGGATGTAAAACCAGACTTTTTTTTTTTTTTTTTTACATCAGAGTCCTCACTGCAGGCAAGCCTTAAGATATGGGTCACTCTTTGTAATACATGTCTCTGCTGGGATAAATTTCAAAACAACAGAAAGCTAATCTGATGTGAGGCTAGCCACTAACAGTGTCTGTAACTGTAACTTTCTATGGACACAAGGCAAAGCTGTAATAGGAAGTGCTACAGTGAAACTCAATCAAATGCTTAAGAAATATGGAGAATCATGAGACAAGTTGAACACAGATTTAGCATCTGATCTCTTTTGATAGATTTTTTGATATGAGAAAAACAGGATTAACAAAATGTAATCTAAAATTGTGCATAAATGGTCAAGAATTTGTTCCTAATGTTCTGCCTGGTGAAATAAATACATAAAAAACAAATACATGACTGCTGTCATAGCAAAAGAAATTTTGTCTTAATTTCTTTTGCAATGTTTTGTTAGCAAACATTTTGTAGCTTGAATTAAAACTCTCAAGTTACCAGTGTAAATTCATGCACTGTACATACTGATGTTTGATTTGTAAAGGGAGTGACACAAGTACTTTCCTTACAGTGCAATATTGGCTACAGTAACATGATTAAAAGCCCCAGCAGGCTCATTCTGAATGGATAAAGAGGACCACACTGGGGACATTAACATGCACTAAGCTGCATTTGTTGCCTCTCAGGACAATAAATGACTGAGGAGGGACAGTTAAAGGACAACAGCACCTAATCATTCACAGGTTCAGTCAGATGTGGAGAGGAGTGGTTTTGGAAATGCACCAACGCACCTTTTATAATTTTCAAGGTTGCGTTCACATTCTACAATTTGCTGATGTCATCATTTCAGATGGGGGGCAGGGGCTTATATAAATCTTTGGAAGGTGTTTTTGAAAGAATCCAAACTAATGATCCACAAATGCTGAATCTTATTATTTGTTGGAGATTAACTTCACAAACTGGCTATATTACGTCCTTTCAAATGACAACAATCACATTTTTGGGTTTAAATAATGACATTTTCTGAAACTAACGTCAAAACTAAATTTCACCATTGTTTGTTGTATTTATAACGACAGTGAAGACATTTAACTTTGTGCCAGTCTGTTTCATGACTACAATTTTAAACTACAGTATAGGCATGATCTCAGCCTATAGAAATATCTTGTTCATACAATTTAACTTCTTCTAGGAAACAATAGGACAATATTCTATCCACATGCTTTAGACTGTTCTTATATGCACTGTGTTATGTTCCTCCAGAGATGTGCTGCAGTCAGCAATCCCACGGCTAATAAACCGGGGAATGCATGATCAGATTTATTTACCAAGCTCAGATGATAGGAGCTGCAGGCTAATTGAAGAAGGAAAGGAGATGGTATGAGTTGGCACAGTGATTCTGCAGTATGGGACTGACAAGGCACTATGGAAAAAAGTTCTTAAACTATATACAAGTTAGGGCAGTGCAAACAGTCAAAATTTAAGATCAAATTGAAAATTGTAATTAATCACACGATTAACATAAGTGAAAAAGTTATAATTTTTTTGTCATATACCCCAACAATACAAGTGGGCTTTTCTTATTTTCTTATGAACACAGTGACAATTCAAACATTGTTGACTGTGTGCATATTATCTTTAATATTTAATGACACATTCAGCACACTTTTGGCTATAACACAAGACAGGATTGCCTCTGGTCATTCTGGTTAATTCTATATTGTGGTTAGAGCTCATCCCTAAAAAAAACCTAGGGATTCTGCAATTTTATTCACATTGAAAGGCGTGTGTTTCAGACTAACTGAATACAAGAAGATTTTTTTGGTGGCCAACTGGAAAACTGAATGATGTGT